CAGTGGCTTCTGTTTCCTTTTCTGGCATGTGCACAATGTGCTTAATTACCCTGGCCTGAGAGTCTGAGCCATTAATTGTAATTACAGAGACATATTAGAAGTGGCTGGGTTTTTTTAACCCAGTTCAGTGATTACTTTTTTTCCCCTTTTCTTGTGTATAACTGATCCTATTTTCCTAACAGGCATTTCTCTTGGAATTGGGCTGCTAACAACTTATGCATATGCAAACAAAAGCATAGTAAATCAGGTTTTTCTACGAGTAAGTATCATCCCGTGCAACAAAATTCTTTTAAGTTGATGAAGGCTTAGTTAAAAGTTAAACAATTTTTGAAAGAAATGTGAATGGAGATACTGTTTTACTTACCTAATTGTGTTAGGTATCGAGATGTAAAGTCAATGCTTCTGTACAGTGTGGAGCTTCTCAGATAGTTAAGGTTTGCAAAATTCAAAGAGGTTGTTCCTCCCCCTGGCTTTGACTATTGAAATCACTTCAGCTGAGAAAAGTTTTTTGTAATGTATGGAATAACTTCTTAACTATATTTATGGAATCAAACAGCAGTTAACAGGTTAAATTTCCATCCCTTTGTTCCCTCCCAAAGGGAAACCTGTTGTTCCTTCAGAGTGGGGTGGGTTTGGTTGTGGCTTTAGGAAAAACCTTTATACACATAGAAGTTGGTACGTTGAAAACATTAAATAGCTGCTCTGCCTTTCCATTGAGTTCTCCTATTTTATGTGGCCTAAAACCACTAAGGTAAAGTCCTGTGGTAGTCACTGCTGAGGTGCAGCAGAGCTGTGCTTTGGGAGTGAGTTCAGACACTGAGATGAGCAGTGTGTGTTTCCCATTCCCTTACAGGATCGGTGCTCCAGGTTGCAATGTACTTGGTTACTACTGTACCTCACTGGATCATCTCTCCTCCTGTATTACACCTTTCATTCTCAGGCACTGTATTACAGGTAAGCAGAGAAACAGCTCTACTCACAGCATGAGTTACTCAAAACTAAGCATTCACTGGGCATATTATTGGTGGTTTTTCTTTAATTGTGGCACTGGTTTCTCTTTCACTTGAATCTTATTGCTCCTCCTCTGCCAAACCCAACAGGTGCTGTCCTTAAAAACACTATGCTGGAATTTGCTAGACCTCATCCTTGCCTTAATGGCACTGCTGTACCATAGGGAATGCTGTGGGTTTGATTCCCAGTCTGGCCCTCCCACCTCCCCCTGGGAATACCCAGCATGGCATTCTGGGGCTCTGTGCAGTTTGGCTCCAGTTTATTTTCCCCCTTAACCATTCTGCAGCTGCAGTCTGGGCCATAAATCAAAAGCTAAATGCAGAAATGAGAAAGCAGCTCTAGAGGATGAGGGTTGTGATGAAGGTACAGTGAAGAAGGTTCCAAAATGGATCAGAGATCATAAATGATCAATTCACAGTCAGGAGGTCATTTCCTTTGTGCAAAATCAGGTCTGCTTTTTCAGTTAACCCTGCCTTGATAATCTCTGGTTATAGTTCCCTCTAAATAAGGTGCTCCAGTAACTTCTGATACTTCTTTTTGCAGCTTAATCTTCTTAAACCCTACAGTGGATTTTATGAACTTCTGGGAGGTACTTTGGACTGTGGGAGTCACAGACTTTATCCTGAAATTCCTCTTCATGGGCTTCAAGTGCTTTATTCTCTTGGTGCCTTCTTTTATGATGTCCTTTAAATCCAAGGTAAGGAAACAAGCTTGAGTTTTGCTTCCTTCTGAAGATTCTTTTATGGTAAAATGAGCTAATTATTAGATTCTACCCAGAGAAAAGTCTTTAATTAAAGATCTGGATATAATCCCAGTACACCCTGGGCAAGAAAACCCTGTGGATTTCATGCTCTTCCCTGCTTGGTGCTAAGAAAGGTTTTCAGTGAGATCTGAAACAATGGCTTATGTCATTGGAGAAATGGTTTATTTCTGTCTCGGAGTTGGGGGTTGAAGAAAGCTTCTCTCTGCTGCAAGAATGTGCACATGGGCAGTGAGCCTGGAGCAGCTGCAGCACAGCACATCTTGTGTCAAGAGTTTAAGAGCTGCACATGCACACAGCTGTTTTTTCTGTCCCTCCAAAATACTCCTGAATTTTCCTTTTGTTAACCAACTTAAGCCATAGTTCAGATCAGTGAAATTGGTTGGATTCATTTTATCTTAAAACTGCAATTACTAATGCTGGTTCAGAACAACAAGTGCAGTTTTCTGTGTAGTGTTTGAACAGGATGTTTTGGGAGGTTTTACCTCTTAAAATGTACCAGAACAAGTCATTCTCAGGTACAAGTGGCTTCTCTAAATATTGATTTATAATCAGGATCTCTGTTTTTTTTCTTCAGCTAATGATGCAACAGCCAAAAAAACAGTTATTGAAAATTCCATTACACCAACTGTGCCTAAGTCAAAGAAGGAATCAGGTCAATAGTGGCAAATTGTGGCATTATCCAGTGTACATTGTAGAGAGTATTTCCTCCCTGTTACAAATAAAGAGAAATTTAAGGGAATAAAGTAGGAGCTGAGCTAAATGTCTGTGATTACACATGCACATTCAGTGCTCTGTGCAGGACACTTTGTTTTGGTACTCAATGATTTTTAGGGTGTCATTGAACTCTGTTTACCTGTTCAGCTACCCTACACTTCTTTCCTGCCCCCCCAGTTTTTTATCAGCCCATCCTTAAAGGAATTCATTGTCAAAAGATGAGGTTTCTTAGGCATGAAATAATGTTTACAGGAAGAGAGTTATAATTTATGTGTGTTGATGGAAGAATGGGCCTCACTCTCATTGTTTAATCCTGAATGCAGGACACAACTCTTATCATGCCAAGATGATCTATGTGACCAAATTTATCTTACTGTCATTTTCATGTAGATTTATTTTTTTTTTGCTTATGAGATTAAGCCTGCCAGAGCCATCCTACTTTGATTTTGTAATCAATTCAACAGCAATCAGTTCTGTTACAGCAGCTTGTACAGTTGTGGTGAGACTCATCTGGGTTTTTGTTGGGTTTTTTTCATGCTTCACATTTAGTTATCTCAAGCTCTGGTGAGAGGAAGCTACTCCAAAGAATAACAATGCATCTTTTCTATTTTAAAATTCCTTTGTGTTTGAAATCTTGAGCTATTCCTTTGCATGTCTTGCTCAGGGCTACTGGTACATGCTGTTAGAAGAACTCTGCCAGTATTACCGTATGTTTGTCCCCATACCAGTTTGGTTCCGTTATCTTATTGCCTATGGGGAGCTGGACAGTGCACTGGGATGGACCCTTGGGATACTGCTGGGCCTTCTCTACCTCATCCTAAAAGTATGTAAGCTTTCTATTCCTCTCAGACCATGCAGCAGTAATGATCACTGGAGGGTTAGAGGCAGCACAGCTCTCAAGGTTCCCCTGGGTTTGATCAGAGTGGCAAGTTGATGCTGCAGTTTAACTGATACATCTCCAGTCTGGCTCAGGACACTAAATCATCTTTTTCCTGTACTTGTTCTGGGAATGGATTGGGACTGCATAGCAAAGGACACTGTCACTGTAGTCCCCTCACATCAAGCACTGACCAGGCTGTTGTTAGCACGTACTGAGGAAAACCCCTTGCAAAAATGAAGCTAAAATTCAGGGCTAAAAGAATCAGCATTTTCCAGGAAACTACATTTTCTAACTCCTGGAGTGTCCTGGGTGATGCCAGACAAGTTAAACATGTTCCTACTGTCTCTGCTTCACCAAAAGAGCTCACCTGCCCCAAATGTAGGCAGTTTAGCTTTGAAGATGAACAATACTCCATATAATGCTCTGGGCCCTTAATTACACGGCTAAAGACTATGGTAACTATGATATTAATGATGATGTATTTGCACACAAGTGCTTAATTTCAGAATCTCAACACTATTTTTCGTTTAAAGAACAGACACCACTTGGGAAAAAACTTCAGTCTAAGGTTTTAGTTTGGTTACACATTAACCAACTAAAACAGGGTCAGTGTGAACTGTGCTCATGTTCCTGCCAACATTAAACCAGCACTGAGGCTTCCAGTGTTGGAATCTGCACAAAAATTTGGAAATTTTTTAGTTCACAGAGAAAAAAATACTAAGCATATCTCATGTTTTCTTTCCCATTTCAGATCTTGAGCTTTTTTGGACAATTGAGGAACTTCAGGCAGGTCCTAAGGATATTTTTTACACGCCCAGTGAGTACTGAATTCTCTTATGGCCAAACCAGAAACTCAGTTCACATGAAAATACTTCAAGTGCCTCATTCCTATATCCCTTTGTACTGTTTTAGCAATAAACAAATGCATTTTTAAATGGAACCTGTATAGCCATTTCACTCTGAATTCCTTGACTACATGATTATGTTGTCATCCTAACAACAACCACCTCCCCCAAATCTATCCTACACATCCCTTCAGATAAAAGGATGTGAACTAACATCCTTTTTGTCCTACTTAAAAAACTTAACAGTGTTTCACTGGATGAGGGATTGAATAGCTTTCCTGACATGGCAGCCCTTATTCCCAGTTCCTTTCCATCCTGTTATTTGGGTTTGTTTTGGCTTTTTCATCCCCCTAGAAACTAATATTTGCTGCAAACCTCCTGTTTTCCAGCACTATGGGGTACCAGCCAGCAAGAGACAGTGCTCTGAGTCAGATGATATCTGTTCCATCTGCCAAGCTGAATTTCAGAAGCCTATTCTGCTGATCTGTCAGGTAATACACAAAATCCCAATGAATTTTTGCAAGCTTAAGGTTATTTTAAACAAAACAATGTAAAGTTAGATTACTGAGTGTGTGTTTCATGGTGATTTTTAGAGATCAGGCTATGCAAGTAATACACTGTTGTGTAAGTGGAAGAGCTTAGAAGCTCTAAGTTCTCCTTCTTTTCCTTGCAGCACACATTTTGTGAAGAATGCATCTCTCTATGGTTTAATAGAGAAAAAACCTGCCCACTCTGCAGAACTGTTATTTCAGACCATGTTAACAAGTGGAAGGATGGAGCCACATCTATGCATCTACAGATTTTCTAAAGCTTGTCATGCTCCACTATTTAAAACAGTGCAGAAAAATGTTAACTTGACCTTTGTTAAGCATACAAAGCTAAGTTTTGAGAATGGCTGCAGAAAAGGCAGCACTGCTTCTCTTGTGCTTCTCATAGGAAACAGTCAAACCTTTGAAAAATGCTGCACTGCTCCTGGCAGCAGCTCCTGAACTCGCCACTGTATTGCAGATTTCCAGGCTGTACTAAATGGTATTTATCCTTCTAACATGACTCAACCCAAAAGGTCACCCCACCAATTTTCTTGGTATTTTGAGCAAATGTTATACTCTGGACTACAGTGAGACTCAGAGCTCCTTGTCACACTTGGCATTCAAGATGCTTTAGTGCCTGCCCAGTAGGTAACAAATTAGCCTCTTACTCATGCATCTAATTCTCACTGTACCTGGAGACAAGCACAAGAATGAGGTGTTTCCCCTTTAGGTTCTCCTAGGCTTCTAATGGATCTTTGGCTTAATGGTTTGGCTTTAAACCAACCACTGAGACTAGTTTTTTACTTAGCATTTTATAAAGTTGGGATTTTTAAAACAGATCTTGAATACTATATTTTTGTCATAAGAGGAACCAGATTTTCTTACAGGGGAAAAGCTATTTTATACTATATCTGCCATTTGTAGTATGCATAAAAATCAGAGAGAATAAATGCATTGAAATCTATTTGTTTGGTGCATGTTGAATAAAGAGAAGATTCATTACTGTTTCAGCATTAACTTACATGTAAGCACAGAGCAACTCACTACCAGGTATCCTCTTCTTGTTAAACTAATGACTCTGAAAACCAAAACCCCTTCAGATGCTGCAATTTATTCATGATTAATTTTGATCTTAATTATAGCATTAACTTACATACAATCTCTTTTTTTTTCCTGCTTGTCTTTTCTGACTCTGTCATTCAAATCAGACTGAAAACACCACTCAAATTAATGTCACAGGAAAGTTCCATTAGTTGCCATTAACTTGAGCTTGTCTTAAGTGAATACCTTCAGAAAACTCCTAAATTCAGGAAAAGCAGAAGGAAAGA